TAATCATCTGAAAGCACTCGTCCACCTTACACTTCATCCCCAACCGGTTCAGCACCTGGTGGAGCTCCGCCGCCGAGATCATCCCGTCACCGTTCTGATCATACAGATCAAACGCATCCCTCAGTTCAGAGGCGGCGGCGGCAGCGGAGGAGGATCGACACAGCTTTGCAAACTCGGCCAAATCAATGTACCCGTCCTTGTCGGTGTCCACATCTTCCATCACGCGACGAAGCTCCTCCATGGTGTAGGTAGAGCCCATGGATTTCAGCACGTCTCCGAGCTCCGAAGCTGAGATCTTGCCGTCACCGTTTGTGTCGAATTGGTTGAAGACCTTCCTGAGCTCCGCCATATCGTCGAGGTTGAAGGTAGTGGAAGATTCCGGCGCGGTGGTTTCGGGGCTAGGGTTCGAGATTGGGGTTGCCATTTTTGGAGGGAGAGGGGGGAGGAAAGCAGTTTCCGTTGCGACGAGAAAAGAGGAAAGCGTTGGGGACGGGGGAGGAATAAGAGGAAAGAGAAGTGTTTGTTAGTATTGGACTTGAATAAGAGTAACGTGGGCCAGGGAAAGAATTGCTGGCCCATGATTTATTGAATCGTGATAAAATCAAGCCGAAAGAGAAGAGTCGCGAAGGTCACGCGTGTTCTTTTTTCTTTGCACAAGAAAAAGGAAAAGCATACACGTCGACTAAAGAATGTAAAAGCAAACGAAACCTCTGTCCTTGTCTTGTTTTTTTCTTTTTTAAATAATAAAGCACGTGATTAATAATAATAATAATAGTTTTTAGATTCGCCCATATTTAAAGATTTAAAGATTGAGCTTCTGATTAATTATTTTTTTTTAAAATTAAAATAATATTATTTTAGTAAAATAATAAAAGTTAACAAGTTATAATAGGATTTCTAACTGAGTTATTGGTTCAATTCATTGAGTTAATCAAATTATATTAATGTTTTTCTCTATTTTTCTAATTCGGCCCCGTTTTAGAGCTGGGTTAACAATTCTGTACCGACGTGTCAAATTAAAAGAATTTTTAAACTGATAATAATAATAATAAAAAAAAAAACTTTTGTTATTAAGCAACGAGCAGCTTTCTTTTCGCTTTCTTACCTCACCACAGGACAGGAATTTATTTTCACTTATTAACACTGTTGTTTTGTTTTTCTTTTTTCTTTTCTTTTTTTAGCTGAAATGGCACAGTTTAATACATGTTGGATCGGAAACATAACTTTGTAAGAAGTACAGGACAGAAAAATCAATTTCTAAAAAAAATTGCTAACATTGGCCGGTACAAACTTAAGAAAAAATAGGACGGAAAAGACAGAAAAAAAATCATAAGAACACTGAAACTTTAATTACAATACTCCTGATTTCATTAGAAAATCTTGATAAATCAAATATAGCTATACAAGATAAGAGCGGGTTCACTCTTTTTCCACAGAAAAGTAAGTTGTCCCATTATAATAACTATTTACAATACTCTTTTTAATATTATGGGATCCATCTTATTATAATCTTTTATTAATATTTATATTTGGATTAAATTATGTATACCTTGACTAATTTCACAGATCTTAAAATTAATGATCATATAAATCTTTAGTGGTCCTAAGATTTATAAGAATTGAATAAATAATCTTTAGAAAACAAATCTATAACTTGACTAATTGAGCTACACACTTCAAAATTATCTTATCATAATTTTTTTTATTAGTATAAGTTGTGTTTTAAATTAAAATCTCAATGTACCTTTAAAGATCTCTTTATTTCCTTTTCTTTTTTCCCTCTCATCATTATAACTCTTTAAGAAATGTATGACTCACTTTAATCACCGTTAATAATATTTATTGGTATTAATAGATTCATCTTGTTAAGATATTCCTATTAATGCTTTAATATGTATTTATTGAATTTTTTTTCATTAATTTTCTCTCTCTCTCCTTTTTTTTTTTCTTGATATTTATGTGACTTGTGTTAACACTTTCTTTAAAGTAGATATTCCCAACCTTAACTTCTTATTAGGTTGTGATTCATAACCATAATATCTATTAAATTATGATATTTTATAAAATAATTTTTAAATTATGTTATTTTACAAAAATAAAATAAAATTAAAATTGGTGATTTTTTTTAAAATCAAATAATTAACAAAAGCATAAGCTTCCTCCTTAAATTATTGCACCCCTCTTCATATATTACTATTCATTAGAATAGTGTAAAGATATTTTTGACCTTGTAAGTTAATACTCAAGGGCAAGATAATCTTTACACTAAGATCAAATTGTTATTATTAAATTTGCTAGGCCCATAAATATATTTTTATGAATAATAAAAAGACTTTAATATCTTTAAAAACAAAATTAATTGAATTGTTATGAAATGATTTTTTTACTTTTCTAATTTTTAAAAATAGTTAAATTTATATTTACCCTTTAACTTTTTAAATTTTAGAATTGCCAATTAGATTGTTTTGGTTATGATTGTTTTGGTCTTTTTTTAATAAAACATATTATTTTTTAAAAAATATAGCTAGCATATTGTCATACGCATTTGCATGTGTACCTTAGCAATCAAATACTACTTTAAATGGCGGTGTTAGAATAATCCTAATATCATCTTTTTTATATTCAAGTGTGTTTTTATATTAGATGAATGATTTGACTTTGATAAAAAAAATTTCCCTTTCTTTTCTCTTTTTTCAACATGAAAAAATTCAAGAATCTCTCTTTTCCTTAGAAAAGTTCAAGAGTGTTCTGTCATTTATTTTTTATATTCAATTTAATTTTTATTTTATTTTTTTTAATTTTATCTTTCATCATTTAGTTTAATTTTATTTTTATATGCAATTTGGTCCTTATTCTTTTGATTCCTATTTGTTTTGATTTGTTTTTAATTTTTTATTTCTAATTTCATCTATCATTATTTAGTTTAATTTGATTTTTATATCAAATTTGGTCTTTATTATTTCGATTCATATTTGTTTTGTTGTTTTTTATTTAGTTAAATTCATATTTATCCTTTAACTTTTTAAATTTTAGAATTGCCAATTAGATTGTTTTGGTTATGATTGTTTTGGTCTTTTTTTAATAAAACATATTATTTTTTAAAAAATATAGCTAGCATATTGTCATACGCATTTGCATGTGTACCTTAGCAATCAAATACTACTTTAAATGGCGGTGTTAGAATAATCCTAATATCATCTTTTTTATATTCAAGTGTGTTTTTATATTAGATGAATGATTTGACTTTGATAAAAAAAATTTCCCTTTCTTTTCTCTTTTTTCAACATGAAAAAGTTCAAGAATCTCTCTTTTCCTTAGAAAAGTTCAAGAGTGTTCTGTCATTTATTTTTTATATTTAATTTATTTTTTAATTTATTTTTTTAATTTTATCTTTCATCATTTAGTTTAATTTTATTTTTATATGCAATTTGGTCCTTATTCTTTTGATTCCTATTTGTTTTGATTTGTTTTTAATTTTTTATTTCTAATTTCATCTATCATTATTTAGTTTAATTTGATTTTTATATCAAATTTGGTCCTTATTATTTTGATTCATATTTGTTTTGTTGTTTTTTATTTTTGATTTTTTTCTCTTCAATTTCATCCCTCATAATTTGGTTTAATTTGATTTTTATATCAAATTTGGTCATTTTTTTTATTGTTGTTTATATTTTTTTTCATTTTCATAATTGAATTTTATTTTCAATTTTATCCTTAAGAATTTTGCTTTGATTTTTAATGTCAGATTTTATTCTCATTTTTGTTTTTTCTATTTTTATCTCTTAACATTTCATTGATTTATAATTTTGTTTATTCTTTTTTTTTTCTAGTTTTATCTCTTAACATTTCATTGATTTATAATTTTGTTTTATTATTTTTTAGGGTTTACTTTTCATGAGTCTAGTTTAGGGTTTGTGACTAAAGTCACCAATTTTGGAAGATAACACAAGTTCACTTCAATCCTTTTTTGTCATTTTAAAATTAATTACTTTTTATATTTTATCTTTTAATATTTAATTTATTGGGGTTTAGTTTTTGAGCTTTTTTTCCCTTTTCTTTTCTATGAAATTAATATAATTTTACATCTATGGTTGCGGATTTAATAAGTTAACTTGAGTTAAGTTGCTATTTTTTATTGCTTTTTTCACAAAAGTTTTTTGACCTTTATGTTCTTTTATTGTCATTATTTTTTTAATCCTTTTCTAATTTTTTTTTTCAAATCATCCTTTTTCTTTGTTATTTTTCAATTTTGATCCTCTTTTTTCAGGTTCTTTTATTAATTGTATTTTTTATTTCAATTTCACTCTTCTATAAAAAATGAAGATTATTTTTTGTTTTCTTTTTTATCCTTATTCTTTTCATTTTTTTTTTGTTTTGGATCTTTTTTTATAATTAAAATTCTTTTATTAATTTTATCCTTTAATATTTGATTGATCGAGAATTAAGTTTTTTTTTTATAAGATACTTTTAGTTTAATAATTTGAATCACGAGTTTAAAAAGTTAATGCGAGCTGACAATAAAAAAATAAGTTTTGAGATTTTCTTCGTTTTATTTTCGATGGGATTATCTTGCTATCATAATTTAAACAACAAATTTAATAGGTTAACCAAGTTTGATTTTACTTTTATTAAGTGAGTTACAAGTTTTTCTCATGTTAATCTGATTAAATTTGTTCAAGTTTTTTTTTTATTTTTTTAACCTTATTTGGTCCTTTCTTGTTTAATAAAAAGGAAATAAAGTTATATTGTTTTTCTCTATTTGAAAAAAAAATATTTTTTCAATATTACTATGATTACTTTTTTTTTAAATTTTTTTTTTGATCAATACGATATCATGGCCTAAAAAAATTTTTTTTGATCAATACGATATCATGGCCTATTTCTTCTATCTAATTATAATTATAATAGAATCAATTTATCTGGTCCATTTGAGATTGAAAGCTTTATAAAGAACAGGGTGAATTCTAAAAAATACAACAGAAATGACCACCACCAGAGGGTTAATAGCCAGCTGGGGTGATTGACTGCAGCTTGAACGCAACAAAAGTCAATTCCAGCCACTGCAAATTGATTGCCTCTTTATTTCCTGAGAATGAAGATATATATATATAAAACCCTCACCAGACTGCTGTATCATGTTGTTTCTCATTTATGTACAATCTCTCCCACAAATTGTGTTATCATTTCTCCTGACAAAAAATTGAGAGTTTCTCCAGAATGCTCTTTTTTGCAGACCAAAGCAGATCTCCACCAAGAATCATGTCTTTTTACGGTGTCGTGAAGACCAATTTAGGGGCATTAGAGATTTCAGTATGTGATTCCTTTACATGGCCGAGAGAAAGCAGGAAATCCGTTCTTTTTGGACACATAATCCTTAACAAGAACTTTTTTCATTCCTTCAGTATCTGCAGAATATGCTTCACATACACGGATGTTGAATCCACCCCTCACCCACAAGCCTTCTGCCCACTGACAAGTTGAATCGTATGTTAATTGTTAAATCAATTCTTCACTTGTCCATGTAATTTATCAAGAGTCCGCCACGTTACCGCATCAGGGGCCAAACCATTCTTTTGCATTTCTCCTGCAATTTGGTAGGCTTCTCTTTTCATACCTAAGCTGCAAGCTCTGTCAATCACAATGTTATAGCATACAATATTAGGACTGACCCCAGAATCTACCAATTCATAAAGGAAATGTATGGCCTCATTCAAATGGCCTGAGCGGGAAAGTCCTTTGAGAATGGCTGAATAAACAAAATCATCATGGATTTTTGACGGCCAAATAACCTCATCCCAGAACTTCTTAGCCCCATCTATTTGGCCAGACTCGCATAATCCCTCGACTATTATACTGTAAGTTTGACTATTGGCAGCTACACCATCAGTTATCATTTCATCAAAAACCGCCATTGCCTCACTTGTTAACTGAAGTTTAAACAAACCACGAAGAATTGCATTGTATGTCACAACACCAGGAGTGATACCCTTTTCAAGCATTTGAAGCAATAAATCGCGAGCTTCTTGACTTCTTCCAACATCTAATAAACCACTTACGATGGAAGTGAAGGTCACAGCATCAGGGGCAGAAAATTTCCCCGTCATCATATCATTTAGCACCTTCAAAGCTTCTTCAACCCTTCCCATCTTGCAAAACCCATTAATAACTGTGTTAAGAGTGATCACATCAGGCTGACAATTAGTTTGTAGCATAGAAACAAGCACATTCAAAAGCTCAGTTGGATTATTCATGAGACAAAGAGCTCTCAAATATATATTGTAAATCCTAGTTCTATCCATCCCTTCCTTGTTCAACATAACTTTTAAAACTTCCCTTGCCTTGTCAAGATCCATTGCTTGACAAAGTGCTTCTACCAGAACCTTGTAAGTATACTCAGACAGCAAGTAACCAAATCCAACCCCTTCCTCTAACAACTGATAAGCTCTCATGCAACCCCCTTCCTTACAAAGCCCATGTATGATTGAATTATATGACACTAAACTTGGTGTAAACCCTTTTTTCCTCATTATATAAACAACCCTGGAAGCACCATGGCTCCTCCCAACCTTACAAAGGGAATCAATCAAATGCCCATAAGCAAAGTCCACATTCACCCTATTTCCTTGTGGCATTTCCTCGGCAATCATAAAAACCTCATTAAAAAGCCCTTCTCTACACAAACAATCAACAAGATTAGCAAAAGCGGCACTATTCACAGACTGATCCTCTTCATATCTCATTCTCTGAAAGAGCACGTGCATCAATTCTCTTCCACGTTCAATGTCTCTCTTTCTTAAAACTCCACGAATCAACAAGCTATAAGACAGCGAATTAGGGACAACACCCCATTCAGGCATTTCATCGAACAGCTTATAAGCATCAGAGATTTCACCAGTTTTACAATACCCATTAACCAAAGTAGTATAACTTACAATACTTGGACAGTGCCCTCTGTTAATCATGTCGTACAACATCCTATGCGCTACATTCGGCAGCGAGACCGAGCAAAACTGATCGATCAAACGGTTATAATTAATCAACGAAGGCACAAACTCAGGCTTAAATTCAATCAAACGATGAATAACATTCAATGTCCTAAATGGGTCCTTAGAATGAAGCAAGCGAGCAACGAGTACATTACAAGTACGCTCATCAGGGACACAAAGGGAGGTTAAAAAGATGATAAGGCGTTGGTGGGCTTCACTGAAGCGGTTGGCATCACAGAGCCCGTGAATTATGCTGCTGAGATTGAGGGAGTCCGGGAGGTATCCACGGAGGCGGAGATGGTCAAGAAGGCGGAGGGCTTCATCAACGTTGTGGTGTTTGGTGCAGAGGTCATGGATCTTTTTGGTCCAGTATGACCTGTTGGTTATGCAAATGCTTTGTTGTTGGTGGATCAGTGCTAGTTCTTGGTGTGGTTGGCTTTCCGGGTGCGTAGAGAGGAATGAGAGAGGTGAGAGTTTGGGTTTGAAAGGTACGGAGAGCTTCTTGAGTTTTGAGAGATTGGTGAGGAACATTGCTTTGGAGCATGCTTTTCAGAGAGTGACCAGGTTTTTAAGCGCCATCTGCTTGATTAGTAAAAAACGAGAGGTCATATTCCAAGTATATTTTTATTTAATCTTGTTCTAACTATTTTATAGCAGTTCTAATGATTTATATCTTTTATAAAATCTACTTTATACATATATATAATTTTAATGAGTTCGCGTGGGAAGGCTACTGCTTCATTTAACACAAACCTCTGAGTTAATTTGGCGTTAGAACATCTTCAACTGTGGGATTAATTAGCTCCTCCTCCATGTTTAATTTGGTATGCAATAATGGAAATCAACAATCCCTGCCAGTTAAAGAGCAAAGAGGGAATTCTTCACTTGAATAGAAGGAGAAGCGGGACGAATTTGAGAAAATAATGACCGTCTTGTTCACTGATTTGATTCAATTTTGGCAGTAGAAACGTCTTGAAACCAAGCTCCTCCATCTCCTGCAAAATTTAGAAATTCATTAGCAGTAGAGAAATTTGTGAAAATATGCACAAGAAGCAGGATAGTTTAATTACCTCTCGGCTCTCGTCGTAGTCCTTCCTTTTCCATCCTCCCCATGATATCGGTCTTTTAGAAGACGGCATTGATCATCGATAGCGAGTTCCTCAAGGCGAGTAGCCTGTCTAGCCTTTCAAGCTTTCCTACAACCACTGAGGTCTAAATTTCGCAGATATTAATGCAGTTTCCAAATTTCTTCAGGCAGCCTTTCAAGCTCCCAGCCACCACAGAGGCACAAAGTTAGCAGATTGTGCAAGTCACAAATTTCCTTGGGCAGTTCCACCAAACTCAGATTATTAGACAGGTCACGATACCGGAGATGCATCAAATCCTTTATCCCATCAAATATTTCCGCACTTGAAATCTTGACATTGCTCAACTTTAACGCTCTCAAACAAGTCAATTCACTGGATCCATTGACAGCTTCTCTGAAAATTATACTGCCTTTAATTTCAATAAACAAGCCGCGCAACCTCTTAAACATATCAAGCGGCGGACACCTTATTTTCAGAATCGTCTCTCAATGGTGTGTTTGGTTTTGGAATCAAGGGATTTTTTAGTATTTATTTGTTAGTTAGCTTAAAAATATTTTTTTTGTTAAAATAGTTTTTTTTTAAATATATTTTTGAAAAGTAAATTATTTTTTATTTTTTTGGTAATATCATAAAAAATAATTTGAAAAATATTTTCTAGTATTTGACTATGTCATAAAAAATAAAAAAAATAAATCTTTAATATTTTTTTTTCAAGTTTCTAAAAAAAATAAAGAATAAATCTTAAAAATTAAAAAGTTGAATACGAATAAAATTAATAAAAATATTTAATTTCATAAATTATCTCAAATAAAATAAATAACAATCAAAATAATACATATCAATCTAAAAGATAAAAAAGTTGAAAGATGATAAAATTAAAAAAAAATATAATTTTATAAATTATTTTAAATAAAATAAATAAAAATCAAAAGAATAAAAACAAAATCTAATAGATAAAAAACTCAATTAAAAGAAAATAATAAGAGAAAAGCAAATAACAATCATAAAAATAAAGACTAAAGTTAATATAAAAATAAAATTAAATCAAATTTTAAGGAATGAAATTGAAAAAACAATTCAAAACAAAATATATAGCAATTAAATAGTTGAGGACTAAATTTGATATAATTAACAAATAACATGATATTTTTAAATTTTTTACAACTTTTAAAAAATGTTTTTCGTTTATAATAAAAGGAATACTTTTTTGGAAACCAATCTAAATTTTTCTTTGATTGAAAAATATTTTCTGTTAACTAACGTTTTTAATGACAAACAAACATAGAAAAGTTTGGATATTGACTAACTTTTCTAATGACAAACAAACATAGAAAAGTTTGGAAAATAATTTCTACAAAATCACTTTTCATGAAATAAACAGGGCCTTAAACGACAACAACAAGATAAAAAAATATTAAAGAGAGAAAATGAATAACTAAAAATGGAAATTAGCAATAACTCAAACGAATCTCAAATCTCTCAAACACCACATTTGAATGCATGTGTAAAGGTAACACCCTCATATGTCATTCCTTGCTCCATATCATACTATCCAGATCGGTGAGGTTATGAATTATACTATTCTAAGAGATTCTCAGGTGCTTTTAAGTATTTGAGCAATCGATTATGATCTTTCAGTCCAGGAAGACCTATTATCATTTAAACCAAATGAAAAAAAATAATATTATTAATTTTTAAATACCTTTGATGGAAAGTTTGCTTTAGTCTATATATAGATTTCTTAAGCCTACAGAATTGTTCCCCTTTAAAATGAAACCTTTTAGTTGTTTCATATAAATCTTTTCTCCGTGTCTCAATTTAGAAATGTTATTTTCACATTCATTTGATGCAACTTTATGTTAAAATGAGTTACCAATGTCAAGAATATCCAAAATCATTTTGTTTTTGAAACAAGAGATAAGGTATCATGATGATTAATTCCTTTTTGTTAAGTGAATTCTTTGACTACAAGTCTAGCCTTATATATATTTGTCTAAAAAGTTTCTTTTGATTTTAAAAACCCATTTACAATGAATGACATTTCCATACTTAGAAATTTCAAAAAGATATCAAACTTAGTTATTAGAAATTAAATCCTATTCATCCCTAATAGCAATATACCATCATGTGATTTATTTCCATTTATAGTTTGAGAAAAATATAATAGGGTCATCTTTAGTACCAATATCCACGTTAGATTTTTGTAGGTAAATAATATAATTTGAACAAATTAGATGTTTCATAACTTTTAAAGATGTTCTTAATGTTACATCAATATCTCTAGCTTGAGAATGTATAGTAACTAGATCTATAAGAATATCCTTGTGATGTGTGGCTCTTTAATGATTTATTATTTTTGAGTTATCAAATTTTCATAATTATAATGAAGCATAACTAATTTATATGAACATGTAATAATAGATTCAAAACTACTATCCTTCTAAAAAACTAAGTTTAAAAGTTGGCTACTCCCACTAATTTTATTATTCTCAACATTCTCAAGGGACCTTATATTTATAGATTTCATAATTTTTGTCACCTGAGATAATGGTAAAATTTATATCTCTTAGACTTTTCCATATTACTAATTAAATATGCAATAAATGTCCTTAAGTTAAATTTTGTCTTTAATGAATTGTAGACTCTAAGTTTAGTTGATCAACCTCATACATATACATACCTTAAATTAAGATTCTAACCTTTCTAAATCTCAAATGTATTTTATGAACTATCTTGGTTAGAATCCTATTTAATGTATATGTCATAATTTTTATAACTTTACTCCACAAAGGTAATTGACACGACTAAAAGATTGATCAACTATCTTGGTTAGAATCCTATTTAGTGTATATGTCATAATTTTTATAGCTTTACTCCACAAAGATAATAGAAGATCAAAATTACTAATCATACTCCTTACCATATTCATCAATGTTTGGTTTCTCCTTTTAGCTATATTATTTTAAGATGGTGAGTTTGATATTGTTTATTATGTCACAATATCTTGTTCCTTAAGAAATCTTATAAATGGATTTAGCAATTATCTTATTTCAATGTACTTTTCATAATATTCACCATCTATATCTAATCTCATGATTTTGATTTAATTGTCCAATTATTTCTCTACTTCTTTACAAATCTTAAGAATATCTAATAATTCATTTATATCTTAATGTAAATAGAGATATACATATCATGTATAGTAATTAATAAAGGTAATGAAATATTTTTTTACCATTAAATCATCAATCATAAAAACTTGAAATATTAGTATGTATATTCTTTAAAAGATTTGAAGTCTTCATGCATCTTTTTTGTGCTTGTTAGTTTTCTTTACTTTAATACAATTTTAAATCAATAAAGTCAAAAGCCTTAAAGACTCAATAATTTATCAATGTTTTAATTCTATTAATAGAGATATAACCTAATCTTTTATGCCATAACATAAAGGATCTCTCATTTATAACACTATGAATTTGAAATGATTTTTCCTCTATATGCTAGGTATTTAAGATTTAACAGTTATTATTACTACTTTAAATCATTTGTTAATTTATTCTTTTGTTAAAAAAAAAGTAATTAAAACATTTATGTAATTCAATAAAAAAAAATAACATAAAGTTGACTTAAATAATGGTAACTTGAAATCACGATGAAAAAATCATTAGGTGTTAATGCAATTGTTGTATCACTACCTAGTTAGTTAGCTTAAACTCGTTTTTACTTGTAGTTAGTTTCTTTGTTGTTTTGGGCTTAAGTCCCTTTTTCTATCTTGTGAACTTTTCCTTATAACTTTGTTCCATTTATTAGAAAGAAATAACAAGCTTATATAACCATTTACACTTTGAATTCAAATTCAAAAGCAATTTTATTATTATTTTTTTTTATGACAATCAAGATAATATGTAATAAAATGAAAGCTAGAGCTTTTGCGACAATGATATTAGAAAAAAAAGAGTTCAATATAAAGTAAATGAAAAAAAAATGTATATATCATCTAATTGGACCATATTAATATACCCTTTGAGCCTCTATATAACTTCATGCTTGTATAATTGAAATTGAGATTGTTAGCATTAACCTATAACACCAAGCGGTGTAGAACAAGTTAGAAATTAACTAATCAGTTGGAAAGTTTATCCTGAAATATAAGATTATTCCAACACAACCAAATTCCTCAACAAATATCAGAGGCAAGTATAAGGATTGCCTGATTTTAAATCTCTCTTTGAATAAAAACTTTTACTAAAACAAAACCTGATTAATGGTATATGACATGCACCATTAAAAACCAAACCATTTTAAAAATTTACTCTAAAATTTCTAAGACTGAATATAATGTAAGAGAAGATGATTTGAAGTCTCTAAATAAGCATTGCAAAAAGAACAGGAAGCATTCCTATAAACAAGCCAATTTCTACGAACTAACACATCTTTATTACAGATACTATCATATAGTGGAAGCCATATAAAGACTTCAATTTTTAGAGGAACAAAACCATCCCAACAT